GGATCAAATGAAGTAGCACTTAAAGAAGCTCACGTGGGCCACCCGCTGATAAAAACAGTCAAGAAAACACAAATGCTGTTTCTGGGACACTTGAATAGACAAAAAGGCCTTGAACATAATATATAGCTCTTACTGGCAAAAATGATGGCAGGCAAGACAGAGGTTCTGAGGCAGACAGACTCAGAGCAACCTATTTGGAGAGTCGAAACAAATCAAGGGTGACGGGGCAATGTAGCTTTTTTGAGAGCATTCGAGCAAAGGAAAGAATGGAGAACCATGATCGCAGGTGTCTGTCGCAGATCTGGCACTTGATGATGATGAGTGCGAGGGAAAAGTAAGTAATTATAGACAGACAGAAACCAAAAAGGGCAGGAAAAAGAAGGAAAGAGTGCCAATATCGCCCTCCAACTACCTACCCACTAAAGCAATGCACATCGATATCATAATGGCCATTCAGTACTAGACTAGGACAAAGCAAAAGTGACGGACAGGAAAGTAAAGGGAAGGAACAGTCAAAAAGTTGGACCTCCCACTACTGCCATCCAACCTTGAATTACCGTAATTTTACCACCCAGCATCAGTTCAGCGTAAGAAAGAACTGACTGACAAAACAGCATGATCGATCATGCAGGTAAAAAAAATAATCCAAAGTAGTCCTGACCGTATCTAAAAATCATATTATCTGAAGAAAAAAAATGTAGATCTAGATTCTAGATCTAGATCTAGATCTATATCTAGATCTAGATCTATGTATTCCGCGGATCTATGCTTACTCACGCCAGTTTTCGACCTCGGCGTCTGCATTTGAAGTCATCCTCAGTACATCAGCTGATTCTTCAGGGATATCTTCAGACTTCTCTTTAGATTTACCACAGAAAGGCTCGCAAAAAAATGAGAACATGTGGAACTGAAATCTTGGACTTCATCAATGGGGATAATTTAGTTGGATGTGAGCATTTTAACCAGAGAGCTTTAGAAGTATTTTTTTCCCTAACAAAACAGAGAGATTATGTAGACTTCTAGTCAGTGAAAATTTTGTAACTTTGTCACATTTTTGGTGAAATGAACTCAGTGATCTAACATCCTCACTAGATTCTACATAACTTCCTTTCAATCATACTTTTGGTGCAATATGGAGTATAAAAAAATGTTTCCAGTGCGCACTAAAAAAATGCTTTGATGCGCATGCCTACCAGTTAAATATTTTCACTGATGATTGTTAAGGCATGTCATTATAAACTACTAAGGAAATTTCAATTTGTAAGTTAGAAAATCGATACTCACAATCGAAAGCAACATTTCAAAGTTGAAACATATTTTTTTTTTTTTAAAGAAGTCAATCAGACTCTGATGTGCTACGACAATCTGTATTTTCACAGGTGCAAAGAACCAAGGAAAAAACAGAAAAAACCAACAACAATAAAGAAATAAAGAATTTAAAAAGTTAAAAGGAAGGCGATCCCACAGCCCCCCCCTCCCCCTCCCTCCTCACCCCCCCCCCCAAAACCACCACTTGCCACGCTCGGGAATAAAGTGAGCAAATCACATTTTAGAACAACTACGAAAAATCAATGTGAACAGGAAGAGAAATATATATACATGATGTATATTTAATTTTTTTTTTTTTTTTAGAAATGAAGTGGGACCGACGACAAACACATCCCGAGAAGAATGACCAAAATTCGGACCGTATCGGTATTCTAACCCAAAGCCCCGAGAACAGATCGACGTGACAATATGGCAGGTACCGGGGGGATCCACGAGTTCAGAGCAATGTAGGGGTGACACGCGTTGTAAGTAGAGAAAAAAACAATCACATCCACACAATGAAGTTCACATGGGCCAGGAAAAAAGCTAGCAAGACATACCGAAACAACAAAAGGATACCAAAAAAAAAAAGAAGAAGAGGATCTTTCACTGGTGGTACCCTTAAACATCCCCGGGAAGATAAGCCACCATAAACAGTAGATAAACATACATTCAATAACGATGTAAGTTTCGTTTTTCAGTGGCAAAACGTCAACGCAAAAATATATATCTAAGTTTAATTAAATGGTGATACCAGACCCTAGATGGGGTTGGAGGAGGGGGGGGGCTCGAAGTAGCAGAAAGTTCTCCGAAGACAGGTTCACACGTCGGGTGGTCGCACCACAATCCAGTGCCTCAATAGCTACAGAGCGTTAGTCTAGCTTTGCTGTTGTAGTTGGCGGGATTTTTGTTTGTTTTAGTAAACCTTTTACGGCACTTGCGACACATTAATGCCATAAGTGCCGAAGACTAGA